TAAGGTACGCATTCAAACACTTGTTCTGTTACCAGCTGTATTCACCTTGCAGGTGCAGCTATGTGGCTTTGATCCTGGATAAAGTGTTTAAGTCATGGATGTTTAAAGTTTAACTTCTTCATATACATGTCTAATANATCATTTTAGCCGGCCCGGCTAAAATAACTGGATGGCCTACCTGCCTGTCAGCCTTCCATTTGTGCACAAACTTATCTCGTGCCCTCATTGGTCATGTGCGCGTTCGTGTGTGTTGGAGGAGGGGCTCTGTAAGGAAGTGGCAGATTTGTTCCGGCTGTGTATTTTCAAATTCTAGCGTACTCAAGCTGGTTTCTCCAAAATTACCTACCCCACCTTTAAAGTATACTAACACTACACATTCAATGTTGTCATATTTGCATTAAGCAAACAATCTATTTACCTTACTTGATCCAGGCACAGAAATCAATACAGTACATGTGTACTTTTCAATTCAGACATTTTCAAATGTGTGAATAATAAAACTAATGTGGCTGAATTCCNNNACCTACCCCACCTTTAAAGTATACTAACACTACACATTCAATGTTGTCATATTTGCATTAAGCAAACAATCTAATACAGTACATGTGTACTTTTCAATTCAGACATTTTCAAATGTGTGAATAATAAAACTAATGTGGCTGAATTCCCTATAGCTGCTTCCGTTTCGGGGTCATGTGCACGACAGCTGCGGTCAAACTGGAGTGGTTTATAGAAGAAAGATAAAAAAATGTTGTTCGAAATCCAAGCAGCATATATTCTGACTATTAATTTATGTTACGCTACAGAATCCCTATCTGGTAAATACCATGTATTTCAAACTCTCCACCACAAGTTTAAACCCGGGTAGTCTGTTAAAAAAAGGACTTTTGTTTTGGTAATACCATCCCAACTCATATATATATATATATCAAGCCATTATTCTTAACAGGATTGTGTGGTACATCAAGCCACATGTTTTTTGCTCATATTTCCTCAAATTGGATAAGAACAGGCATGAACACACACACACACACACACACACACACACACACACACACACACACACACACACACACACACACACACACACACACACACACACACACACACACACAAACCTCTAATTGTACTGTAGCTGCATAGTTTCCCCTCAGTAATAGTAGCAATTAGACGGGCTGTATAATTACACTGTCCTCGTTATATAGTTAATTTCCGTAATTACAAATCACACCAATAGTTTCCTCCCTCTTTGTTTATCTTCTATCCAACACACACAAACTCACACGCAACACATGAATTCAAACCCACAGTAGCCTATGGGAAGTCTTTGTGTGATTATATGAACATGTATGTTTACAGGCTTGTGATGGACACATGTTTACATCACATACACAGCACATGTAATTATCGTCGCCATTAGAGGACTGGATAATCGTCCTGGTCTGAACAGGATTTTTGTGGCATTGGGTGTCTGTGGGTGGGAGTTAGTGGGCGGATCAGACTGCTGAGGGTTTGGAGATGTTAGATGGATGCATAGATTTCAGTGGTTTGTGTCAATTATCAAAAAACATCAGCGTATTTATCTCTGCTTTATAATTGTATTAGAGGCTGAACCAGTGGCATAGCCACCATAGGGTGGCCCAGGCCCACCCAGTTTACTCATTGGGTAAAAAAACTGAGAAAGCTTGGGTGTACATTTACATTTTTTAATTATTATTATAAAAAATGTATTCACCCATTGAGAATATCCAAGCATTCAAAGTGAATTTCAAGTGAACAAATATCGAGTTGAATTAATGTTGTATGTATTTTATCCTCTGAACCGAACTCATTTACGGTAAAAATTGGTTGTTGGTTCCGGCGCGCGCCATAGTAACGTGAGAGAGGCAGAGAGCTGCCTGCAGGGATGCGCTTTTCTGTCAAATGTGCAGACATTTCCCCAGCCCAGGAATTGAAGGTATATTTACGAGGGATGGATATGTAGACTGGAAGCACCTGCGTAACTCGTTGGAGAGACATAAAAAAAGCGAGGACCACGGCAAGTCCATGAGCAGGTTTGAATGCTACAACCTATTGTTCCTGTTACCTAGTGCAGTGGTTCCCAAAGATCGCAGGGGAGGCGCCAGGCCTCAGATGATTTGAGGCCAAATATCATATTTAGACTTTTTAATTTTTTTACATGTAATTGTAAAGCAATACATGATTGTCAATAAAAGCCTTGTCTCTACATTACAATAACATATACAAAATAATTGATTCATTAATTTGAATAACAATTCAAGTAAAGGCATAAAAAGACAGAAATGTATAATTCTTTCTTTAATAGAAATGTTTCTTCTGCCCATAAAGTGTCCAAACCAGGTGAGACTGCCAAGGCAACACGAG